TGCACAACATGTCAAACCTTGAGGTGGATGAGCTACAACAGCAGAAGACCACATCGGATTCCACTCCTATCACCCAAGAACAGGTATCTGAGGCTACATGGAGCACAAACTCACCGACAGTTGAATATTGGAGAAGCACCAGATGATTTTATGAATTTATGCATTGCATTGCTGCCACATTATGAATAAGCAGGTGTTCATATTAAAGTGGCTGGTGAAATGCACTTTGTCACCCAAATTCAGCTACATATTGCCTTCTGTTCATGAAATGCAATAATGAGTACACTTCTTGAGTTGAAATGGCAACTTTACACTTTTTAATGGCTATCTACAAAATGGCTTTGTAACATATTCATAAGCATTGATTAATATATTTCTTGAATAAAGAATGACTATATATATAAAGAGCATATATTCCCACAGATGACATATGAGAGGTTTTATAAAGGAAATACAGTAGCTTTGTTTGAGGTAATACAAAAGATATTTGCTACTTTAATACACAGTATTTTAAACCTTTGTCACATTAGAATAGCGATCACTGTATGGATTATGGATTCCAACCTCTTCTTACAGATTTTCAGAGAACATGCCCCTACCCTGCCCTGATGTTTTAGTGTGCTTCTTTATTATTCCACATGAAATAATCAAATCTAATAGACAGAGGTCAAATGGAAAGTTCTTCATTGTATTCATGAAACCATAGCAGTGAGTGCTGTGACTCATATCTGAAATGCAGAAACACAGCAATTAAGCCTTTTTGTACACTGAGTGAAGCATCATGGGAACATGGCCTGTTGGTTTCATAAATACAAATTAGCTGCTCACACAGTGATCTCAACAATTTAGCTCTGAAATCTATTCATTAATTGCCAGAGACTAAAAGAAATTCTCAAAGCATCATTTCACTGAAGAAATTATGAAATATTCGAGAAATATATTGTTTCTCACCACAGGATCCACACTTTTAATTAGCCTAATAATTAAGAATGAAATTATTAATCAGTCATGCGTGGGTGTTTCTGCTCCAAACCCCTGTTCTTCTAGACCAGTGTAGAAATTAAAAATTATATATTAAATTAAGTTAAATTAACTTTATTTTAAAAACAATAAAACACATTTATAGAGAAAAAAAAGCTGAAGTATCAGGTTGCTGTCATGTTATCTGTGTAACTATAGGTGGTACTTATATAACAAATAGTTATGGATTACATTCTACTGTATAAAGTGTACAGACAATGGTTGCATGAATGCATGATTACACAAATGCAGCCATTACACAGATCGGAACTAAGAGGTACTGTAACATATAAGCAACAATCGTCTATGACCATCATCATAAATTAAATCATCATAAATTCCGGTCTGTTTTCTAACCCATTTTGTTGGTTCTATTCCCAAAATATAAACAAATTGGTAGCCTAATTTAAACCACTGTGACCCTGACCAAGCAGTTACTAAAGATGAATAACTGAATGCTGAAAATGCATCGCATGATGTCCAGGTAACAATTCAACAAATACAATACAATGTTTTACCTCCCTACTTCCTATATCCTGCAGCATTTTTGAGTTTCTGTTTTGGTTTTCTTTTTACTTGGTTATGTATTGTCATTTGCATGGTCAGATTTCTCTTTTTTAGTTTAGACACTTAGTCTATTTTGCTTTTGCTGTTTATACACCTGCAGTAACCAAATGTGTTCAAATCTAAAATTAGTTTTAACCACATTAGAAAAGAAAAATTAGTACAGTCATGATGTCATGATTTTCCACTTCTGCTAAGTACTGTACCCTTTATGGTTCCTCCAAATAGCCCTAGGGTATGAGAACCCCCATTTGAGAGATACTGCTCTAGCTTAAACAGCTTTAGAGAGAGAATGCAACCCTCCCTCCCTGAGAGCCGGCCAATTTTCTCTCTTGGGATCCCAGCCAGTGATGGCTGTTGCATCACTGGGATTCGCTGCCTTGCATTTTCTAAATTGTTCTGGTTCTGATAGTCAATGGTGAGGCCAGAAATTGAACAGAGGATGGGCCTGGGTAATAGAGGGTGGGCAAGGGGTTTAAAAAGAAAGCACAAATGCCAACAATCACTCAGAAGTACTTAAATGATTGCAGAAAGTGCCCAACTAGTTGAAAGTCTATCAACCAAGAGGTTTGTGTCAGTTCAGTAAGCCTACTTGTGGCCCAATTCATTTCAATTCACAACACGTTGCCACACATATAGGAATTCACAAATTCCTGTTGTTTACGGTAACACACACACACACACAAACACATACGTTGCCACAGCTACAGCAGATTTAAAAAAAAAAAACATATTCCAGGAACTTTGACAATCTATAGACTTTATATGAACACAACAATAGGGCTGTGACCTAACATACTGAGTAGTGCCTAACACATATTAACTAAATCCAGCAGCTGAACACATCACACCTAACAGAAAATCCCAAAATGAAACACATCCGGTAGCAGAAAATAGGTGAATAAAATTTGAGATGTTTACACTGCTGTGTTTTACATGTGCTTTTGACAATTCAAGAAGCCAACTAGAATTTAATTTTAATTAAATACCAGTTTCTCCAACTTGCTCCAGCTAGTTAATGTGAAATTAAATGACAGATTTTTAGCAGCTTTCCCAATCAATAGGCTACAGACGAAACAAACAAAAGTGTTAAAACATTAGCATACATAAACTAGTTGTGCAACGACAGAAGTAGAGTTGAACACAGGGTAGAACAGGAACTGAGAACATCTGCAGGCTCATCATTCATTTCATCATGGGGTGACTTTTAAAATAATTTTATTCAAGTGAGGATTTTAATAGAAGAAATAGCCAGAATAGCCCACTGCCTCATCAGATTTTTATTAAATAATTTCCTTCACACACACAAAGCTTCAGTAAAAACCTTCAAATTTTGGTGGATAAAAAGGAAACCAGTCCTACTCTAATTCTTGTGATTAAATATAAAATGTACAGTACACAGTCATAATTTCATTACTAATTAAATGTCTTTTAAATGTGTTTTATAAATAACGGAGAATTGACTAGCCTGCTAGATGTCTAAATATCATGAAAAGTTTACACCGGTTGCTGAGCAATGTCAATCAATAAAGTGGCAGCTTCTTAAAATGGCAGCTACTAGGAAAGGAGAACTGCTTTATGTGAATAATGTTAACAAGATCACAATGTAACCCATAGCTACAAGAGTGCTTTTGTGGGTGTGTCCGGCTTCAACCTAGGCCCCTGTAGCGTTGCCACTTTTATTTTTTTTTTCATATTTATTGATATTTAGAGTTCTACATGTGTTGTCTTCTAGAGGGGTCAGGCTGGGAAACATTAGAAATGTAAATGAAGAACAGAACAAGACAATGTTAGACACAATTTAGGAATTAGCATTAAAATGGCCTTTAAGGAGATGACACATAGGGGCTGCAAGAAACTATTTCCAGGCCCTTACATTTTAAAATTATGACAAGCTTTCCCTTTTTTTCACATTTTGAACAAAATAATTTTCTGCATGATTTACTGTGTTGGCCAGGATATTTTATGCACTGAGAACTCTGGATCACAAGTTCTTTGACAGATACTGTGTATGAATAAGAGAGAGAGAGAGAGAGAGAGAGAGAGAGAGGGAGGGAGAGGGAGGGAGAGAGATAGATGGAAAAATTGAAAAATTGAGATTTGAAGGCTAGAAAGAAAAGTGACCTGGGGGCTTCTGTGCACTAAACACTAAATCCATCACTGCATAAGACTTGAAGTTTACACTCTTCTACAAATCTACAATTAAACATTAGCATTTTACATAATCATCATACTGCCTTGGCAGAGATGGACAATTTTAGATTAGTCAACCAGGATTGAGCCGGAAGCTCTGAAAGACAATCTCTTCATATTTGTCTTGCATTCTGATTTCATAAAAGAATCATTGACTCCATCTAACAACTGATTTTTTTGCTATGACTGAATAAGATCAAGACATGATAGGGCAGAATAGGAAAATTAGCATCACTCAAAGTCAAACTGATGATTGACATTAGTTGGCTGTATGCAGGATTGTCTGAATGAAGAATAGTGAAGAAATAGTCAAAGGCCGATTTTCATCACAGCACCTTCATACTGTGCTGTATCTGTTTGCCAGGCTTCTGTGTGTCCATTCCCCATGACCAAACACCCAATGACAGAGTTAGAGAAAATATTCCAACAGCTACAATAGGCCATGTTTGCTTAATTTACTACAGCAGTAGAAGCATGTCAGGATCAGACACCAACATCACAACAGGAAGCAGTCTTGCTGCTCAAAAGAAAGAGAACAAGACCGAGACAGAGAGAGAGAGAGAGAGAACAAATTATTAGGTATGCTCTTATTATACAGTGGTTTAATAGGGCGCACATTGTGATCACAGTGCAAGTGGGGACTGTGGCATGTCTAGCTGTGCCAGCATAACTAAAAGGAAGAGCCATGAGGGCATCCTGGGATATAAAGCATTTCACCACTCCAACATTAACAAACCTGAGTCATCATGTGAGAGAATTTACCAAAGATTTCCCAGTTTACAATAAATATATACAATAATCTATACTCATGAACTCCCCAGATATGCACCTTTACCTAAGAGAAAAGCTATTTCACAAAATGCCTGACTAAACAAATAGGTTCTAGGTTCAACCTAGAGTTAAAGATTGAGATGATGTCTGAGACTCATACACTAATTGGAAGGCTGTTATAGTTGAGGGAATTTGTAGGTAAAAGCTCTGCTCTGTGCTGTAGTTTTCATTATTCTGGATACAGATAAAGCACCTGTACCTTTTGAATGAAGCAGGATTGTTGTTGTTCTTCTTCTTTCGGCTGCTCCCATTGGGGTTGCCAGAGCAGATCATTGGTCTGCATGTTTGATTTGGCACAGGTTTTACTCAGGACACCCTTCCTGACGCAGCCCTCCCATTTTATCCAGGTTTTGTTACCAGCATTGAGACTACACTCCCAGTGGCTGGGTTGGTTCCCTGCCCGGGAATCAAGCCTGAGTCATGGCGGTGAGAGCGCAAGATCCTTAGCCACTAGACCACTAGGGACCCTCAGTGAAGCAGGATTTTTGTTAAACTGTTAAAAATATTTTTATTATTTTTGCCTTTCTATAGTTACGAAGACTCTCCTTCCATGCAGTTTGGAAGACTAGCACTTTAGATGGCATTTATGTTCACATGTTAAAATGAGTAGCCTGTTGAAAACTGTGACTATTATCATTACACTAGGGTGCTAGCATTTCCCCCTATTTAGTCACTAACCACTTTATCCTGGTCTGGGTCATAATGGATCTGGAGTCTATCCTGGGAACACAGGACATATACACCCTGGAAGTGATGCCATTCCATCGGCGAACACCATGCACACACTCATATTCACACCTAGGGGCAATTTAAAATAGCTAATCCACCTACTGGCATGTTTATGGGAGGTGGGAGCAAATTGGAGAACCCAGAGGAAACCCACACAGACACAGGGAGATCATGCTCAGAAACTCCACACAGACAGGAACCCCAACTCAGGACTGAACTTGGGACCCTGAAGCTGTGAGGTGAAAACACTACCATCTTCAACACCATGCAGCCCTTCTCTTTCATGTGTGGCAACATTATCTAGCATGAAGTGAAATATTGACTCAAAGCAATCAGTCACTGCATTGAGTTCTGTGGGGTCAGAGGGTAAACCATTATATGTTTAAACATCTAGGAGATTTTTTATAAAGCTAAGTACAGTAGCTAACAATTGATGATAAATATCAGTATGTTTGATGAGCAATCATCATCAATAAGTATAGCAAGTAGTAAGCAAAGTATACGTAAAAAATTATAATTAAAAAACCTATAATAAAAAAAAAATCACAGTTACGCATGAGGGAACCTCATACTAAAATAAAGGTAGTTGGGTTTTATATCAATGCATAATATGGCAGTTTGAATCAGAATGCTCAGAAGTGGATCTTTATCAGCTCATCAATGCTTCAGATGAGCAGTAGTTGCATTTGTGTGCAAGAGGCACCATCAAGCACAAACCTGGATGTGGTCTTATTTATTTTGGTAGTCTGATTTTCAGTGTTTGATTAATTTCTTTCAGCTGCTTACTGAAAGAACTGCTTACATGAAATATGGACTTGTTTATTTGCTCATGATGGAAACTTGGCTCATCTATATTCGTAAATAAAACTTTAATTAAATCTGACCTATTCATGTTCGAAAATAAATAAAACATAGTTATAAATAGAGTGCACATAACTACCTGCAGGTCAGGTCGGAAAATCGTTTAGTTTTCTACCTGAGTAAAGTCTTAAACAGCTTTATTTAAAAAGCAGAGCACAATTCCATGTCATTTTATTTCCAGCTACCTCAGACAAAAGCACCTCTTACTCAGCTTGACGGATTTTTTTTGTCCCCTCTCCATTTTGGACAGCTTTCTTTCCTCACATCTAGGATAACTGTAGTCTACTGAATGCTTTCCTTTTATTGATTTATTATTGCAGCACCTGCTTTAGGGCTTGTTTCATGTTAATTTAATATAGTACATGAGGGTAAAATTGGGTGTGTTGTAGACATATGACATGCAAGTAAGGGACTAATGGGCGAGAGCGTGCATCATTTGCACACAAATTGGTGGGTGTTTTGATGATGTATGAGAATTTCATGAACCACATTAAGTTTCCTTTGTATGTCATTTAGTGTGCTCAAATCTGAACTCATTTCTATGCACATTTGATGAATAAAGGCCATGGTCTTTAAAGAGACATCTCACCAAACCTCAAATTTTCCAGTCATTTTCCCCTCATTCCCAGTGATCATAACAGAAACATAAATACGGGAAATATTGGGTGTTTGATATGGCATTTTTAAAGGCAGCCCTCTATGTTGTGCTTAAGCATGACTTTAGCGTAAAACACTAAAAGAACCCTCATGTATTTCAGTTATAGCCTAGGATTGTATGCTGCCAGGCAGCATGGCAGCAATTTGATGTGTTTCCTGTCAGACGGATGAATGGAGTGCATTTGGCATCTTTCCCGGATGCGTGTGGCCACCAGAGTACTATTGAAGTGAGCAATGAAGGGTGATTTATCGACGGCAGCCATACGCTCACTAACCCTGAACAGTGTGGGAGTGAAAGGTAAGAGAGTGCGCAGGATCCTCACCATGAGGCCATTTTACAGCAATTAAACAGCATGGTTACCTTCTCCCTTTGTGGCCATTTTAAGGAAAAGTGCCACTGCTCTGCATGGAAGATGCTTCTGTCATATCCAGTCTTGGACAAAAAGACAAAAGGTTTTCTTTAGCAGGAAATTGGCCTGCTGGTTGATCACACTCCTGATTGGGGGTGTTGGCAGCTCAGCTATTAAATGCACTTATTTCTGAGAGGTTCTTGAAAGGTGTCAGAACAAGAAGGGGAGTCAAACGATTGAAAACATGTCAGAATCCTTTAGTTTCAAATCAGTTTCAAAGGCACAAGGTGGGTGAGTGGGGGATTGGGGAGTGAACTGTCCCATGAATGTTTGGAGGGGAGTGAATTGTCCCAAGCTATTATGCTTAATTCCTAATGAATTCAGGTTTAAATATACTGTTGTTAGCACTGTTAAATGTTAAACTGGACAAAAAGTCATGTTTATTTTTAATACAGTGGTTTAAATTCATGGGCAACTATAGTTTCCATCATTTTTTTTTATCCTTACACATGTTAGATGAGCAGGAAATCACCTATAGTTGGCCACATCTGCTGTGACAGAACATTAGACTCATTTTCCACGTGTCTGAGGCTGTTTGAAAGACGTGGACTGCAGCAGTTCAGAAAAGTCACTTTTCAAAACCAACTGCTCACCCAACTCCACTGTGATTGACTGGTAGAGACATGTGAATGAATTGGGGTGACTTGGTCAACCCAGTATGTTAACTGCATTTCACATTGTCAGGTAATAACATCATTCATTTTAAAGCTAGCAGCTTGTAAATAATTGAACTGTTTTACTGACTGAGTACTGGACAAACACTACATCACTTATTTTTTTTAATGTATTCTACATTTTTGAACTGATAGATGAACAAAGAAATTGAAATGATGTCATGTTTATGGTCATGACACTAAAATAGTTGGACAAGCTGGTCACTTAGAGTTGCTTGTCTATATCAGGTCAGAGCATTGGAGCAGTTTGTATGGAATCACTGTTTAGGGACTTAGAATAACTTGTAACTTAACAGATAACAACATTTTAAAATGTTGCCCGTTCACGTTTAAATCATAATAAGGTGGCGGAAACTCATACAGATGCTATGTTTTAAGTTTGATTTACTTTCAACAACAAAGTGCGTACTTGGATAGGGATCACAGTGTTTAGGGCGCCATTTGGGACAGGGTCATAGTCAGCACTTACAACCTTAGAGAATTACCTAGATGTTGTCATTGCTGTCCTTGATCTACACAAAATAAATGAATCCTTCATAGACTACCTGGCTTCTAGTTATGCCCCTCAAGTGACAAGTGGCTTGTGCAGTATGTCTGTTAAGTGGCAAGTTGAAGGAGTGGAAAGCAGGCAACTTCTCACATTGTGCAGTGTGAACACATCCCTATTCTCCCCTTTCTGCATGAGCGCTCTTGTAGCATCCACTTTTGTAGCGTACACTTTTGTATGCTGATCACCTAAAAAATTTGGAAGCATTAACTCACCATTTTTGGGACAACTGAACAGCTGAAAAACAGCAAGTAATTTTATTATAACTAGTAACTAATGTTATTTGCCAACAGGTCTTGGCTCATGAATGAACACCCAGTTGGAGATGGCAATTCAAGTGTATTTAGTACAATTATTCTAGGGCATTAACTTTTAAATTAGTTTTGAATTGAGTTTTGAATCCGAACCTCACTATAGCCCAACAAGACCTGTCCAAACTCTACAACCTCCAACCATAGACCAGTGTGTACTACTGGTGACTGTAAATGTAGGAATCCACCTGCCTCACCCCTATTCCAGTAGCAAACTATTCAGAAAATTTTGAAATGGTGGAATGGTTTTTGGGCTAGATGTTTAGACGTTTAGTAGTAAAGTTTACACATATGAGTTAGGTGCTATGGGCAGTGTATGTCCCACAATGTTGAAATGAAACCTATGCTGTTGTTCTGTTTAGTCTCTGGTTTACTTCCTCCTGCTAAAGCTCTGGCTTGTCTATGCCCCCTGTCTATGCCCCCTGATCACCTGTTCCTCTTAGTTAGTCTCACTGTGTCTTGTTAAACTGTATATACACTCTTTTGTTTATACTATATCTCTGTGAATTTGTGTTGTGTAATACTGGAATTTTAAGCTGTGGCCTCTGGGCTTCTGCATGTTTTATAGTTCTAGTTTCTCCAAGTTGCCTCAGATGCCTTCTGGTTTTAACCATAGCCTTCCTCTTTTGGATAGCAAATAGTAGTAATGTTATGGATTTACCTGTGATGTTTCCCCTGCTGTGGATTTCAAATATAGCTAATTATACCTCCACATTGTAGTGATGGAATTCAATTAATACCATCCTCCTCTTAAGGTGTTGGTGATTTAGACTCGATTTTTACTGCTGGCAAGAATTTTTTGCATCTTGGCTAAATCATGTGTGAATTAGATGGTGTTTCTGGCATAGTGTAATGCCCCATAAAAATAACTTAGCTGTCACTTAGCTGTCAGAGTTCATCATGAATTTCTGATGGTGTGTAGTTTAACCCTTTCTCGCAGTACACTGGTTTCCCATTCCACCAGCAGACTGGAGTAAATAATTAAACTTTCAACTTATAAGACATTATTGGACATAAACAAATGAATTATTTTATCATCACAAGTCTATTATAAGATTAGTCTGGACACTGTTGGGTTTCTGTGTGTAGAGTATTGTGACCCTGTGTTTAGCTGCTGGTGAGCAGGGAGATGGGAAAGTGGAGGGGTGTGAGCCCCCTGCTGGGAAAAAAATTCACACCTCTCCACAATAACATTTGTACAGAGAAAAACGGACAGGTTTTTTGATAGTAAAACACCGTATACAAGTGCAACAATAAAATTACAACATTTAAGCCT